TAAAAAAAAAAAAAAAAAAAAAAAGGTGCTTGGGTCGCGCCCCCAGAATCTCGACCCCAACTTTGGTCACCCCTCGCCCCCTGCCCGCATCGGGCCTTCCCCGACCGCGGCCGCAACGGTCATGACCGCGGCCCCGACCGCGGGCCACGGTCATGCCCGCGGTGACCGCGGCCACTGGGGATACATAGGTTCACACCGCTACAGGTTGTACACCAAATGCATTGCACAAGGGGTGGAAACCTAGGCATCCCATTGACGTGTTAACGCGGGGCCAGTTCCTTAGGTTACCTCCAGGGACACGAGAGTATTCAGTTTTGTTTCAAGAAGACATAAAGAAGGTAAAAAATAATTTAAAGAAAGCTCATGACCAGATGATCGAACAAGCGAATAAACATCGTCCACCATCAACCTTTAAGGAAGGTGACTTCGTCTGGGTCAAGTATGAAGAGTTTTCCTTAGAAGAAGATGTGTCTCAAAAACTTATGCCTGTCTATTTTGGACCCTGGGAAGTTCTTAAAGTAATAGGAGATGCAATGGGACCGTCTTAAACATGCAGTTCGTGAAAACTAGATCGAAACGAAAGTTCATTTTGCCAAATTTTGCGATACGTTTTTCGATAAACTAGTTTTGAGGACAAGATTTTTATATCTGGTTAATGGGTCACAACAAGATAAGTAAAAAACATGTTTTCAAAAAAACGCACTTAACCCTGTGATCAATGTCTCACGAGAACATAGTAAAAACGAAGTTTTTTTCACATTGAATAAATTCAAAGAAACCATGTCAATAATATAATAGTTTTGCAGAAAATTTGAGGTTAGCCACAAACACAGTTGAGGCAAAAAATCAATTCCTAATTGTCATCATCAACTCTGTGTCCACAAAAACAGGCAAAGAAAATTTCATTGCATGTATGAAGTGCAACAACCAACTTATTGTAAGTCCCAGCAGTAACGCAGAAAGCCTACAACTATCCAACCATACCCATGAGGAGCAAGCGGGCAGGTTCGCATGTACTTGGCAACAGTGGTGGAAGAAGCTCAAACATCGCAAGTGCCTAATGTCCCAAGAGAGCCTATAGACAATATGAGCCCCACAAAACCAAAGCAACAAGGCAAAGCTCAAACATTGCAAGTGCCTAATGTGCCAAGAGGGCCTATAAACAATATGAGCCCCCAAAAAACCAAAGCAACAAGGCAAAGCTCAAACATTGCAAGTGCCTAATATCCCAAGAGAGCCTATAGACAATATGAGCCCTACAAAAACACCAAAGCAACAAGGCCACAACCAAGTCAGCAAACCTATGTGGGTCACGTAGAGAGTCCCTATCAACTCATGCATGCCTGAAGCCTCAGGCGCGTCTCCAACCCTCAGACACTGTGCGGCTCTGGCTATCCTTCTCCTTCGTGGCGCTCTCCACAAAGCCTCTCCCTGCCAACCTTGCCCTGATGCCCCTCACACAATGCAGATCGCTCTCAACAACCAGCACATTTCGTTTGCACAGCAGTGCTGCAATCGCTTCAGTCCCCGATCCAGAAAAAACATCCACTATGTATGAGTCATTCAGGTCAGAAAACTTCTTGATGAGCTACTCATACAAGGAGATCGGTTTCTGGTAGGGACACAGAATCTCATTGTCTGCAGCAAAAGTGTACTTCTTCACCACCGCATTGTGACTCCAACAGGTCATCCTCGTGTCAGAGTCGCTGAACTGGAACTGAATGGGCTCCCTGGAGCCGCTCTGGCTGTAGAAACCAAGAACACAATGCTGCCAGCAGTTCGTGAGCTTGAGACCTGCAAAAGTACTAATGTTGGGAGCAACCCAAATGCCCACCTCCACCCCACAATTGCAAGCATCTGAAAATGCAGATTTCACATCAGCAAGCATGTCAGAGGAGCAGAAACCAGCAATGACCCAATATGGTGCACATGTGATCTTCTTGAAGCTCGCAATGGTGCCCTCTATCTGAGGCCTACTGAACGGCTCCTCATCATCCACAGAACCCTCTGCGTTATAGCCGCATGGGAAGTCCATAATGCACAAGGTGAAAGGGAGTCTGTCTTCCAGTTTCTCTGGTAGCTGAAGCATGTCGCAGTGCGCCACCTTTACAGTTCCCTTATAGCCCTCCCCCTCAAAAGCAGTCCAGTTTGTGAGAAGGCCCTCAGGATCTTCTGTTGCTGCTGTCTGCTCCTCTTGCTGCGAATGTCGCAGCTTGTCCCTGTAGTAAAGGGTCTTGGCAATGTACAACTGCATAGCAAGAGGAGTCTCCTTGACATTTCTCTCATACAACTTATAGTACTGAGATAGCATAGCCTCTTGCGTGTGCACAGGGAACTCCTCCTTGGCAGCCTCCCAACTGCCTGCCCCTACCCCTTCCACAAATGCCGCAACTGTCCTCTGACGAACCTTAAGAAGCGTGAACTGGTGGTTCATCTCCTCAAGCGACAGAACCCCACTCTTAACTTCTGTGAGGACAGGGACCACCAGAGCATCATCGAGCGCAGCCATGCCCAACAGAGGCTTGTAAGGCATATCTACAGGTTCACTCACTATCTCATTCTTTTCAGAAACATACATAAGAGGATTGAGTGCCATGAGAGAAAGGCGCTCCTCACAATCATTTTTCTTAGTCTTTTTCACTGGCTTTCCACCCTTTTTCCCCTTCCCTGTGTCACTGCCAGATGCACTCGACTCAGCAACCTCAAGAGACTTGACCTCCTTACCGCCTGTGCCCTTCTTCATCTTCACATCTTTGATCTTTGCCTCCTCCCACAAAGTGAAAATATCAGACAACAAACCCCAAACTTGTGGCCCTCTCATGCAAATTTGAAGTTGAGGATCCCAGGGACCAATCTGGTTCCATGAAAAAGCCGGGATACCAAGAGCCTCCAAACATGCCCTTTTGACCTCATTCGATTTTTCGCACCCCATCCTTTCAAAAACATCCCTCCAACAGCGCATCCTCTGAACGAAAGTCAATTTCTTGTGATAACCTGCTGCATTGTTATGCTCATGACCAACCAGCAGCGACTCCTCAACAGTAAGTCCCACGTACACATAGCAAACATACCTCTTATAGAAGTCAACGTGAGGGTGCTTCACCATCAAACGGCTGCGTGCCTCATGACAATGACCGCCGCCCAAAATCCAAATGGTGTAGCCCCCTGACCGTAGCTTTTGCACATCCACCCGATCAACTGCTGTACACTCAGCCGGGTCAATCATGCCCACAAAAGGCAAGTGATCCCCACAAGATGGATTGATTGATTGATTGATTGATTGATTGACAAATTTGTCTGTGTCTGCTGTTTTTTTTTTACTAGTGTCAGTGAACTGCACTCTATTGACAATCACCGAACCGTTCAATCAACCACTCAAACAAGAGAGTTGTCAATGAACGAGTTCGATTTGTCATCGACCGTTTGCAGTTATCGCTCGTTTTTTCTCATGGACCTCTTGTTTTTTTTTTCCTCTTGCTATGTGACAGTTGTTTTACAATACGCTAGGTGCGTACGTTTGCTTCTATTATACTACTTTCATGGCAAACCGCACAGTTATTGGGGGCGTTCAATCTTCACCCCTCCCTCCTGTATCTGGTGGTGGTGTCTACCACCCTTTTTCGCAGATGGGTGCTCCTCGTGATGTCCCGCGCTCTGTTGGCGTTGGCTTCATGTCTTCTTCGGAAATGCCGGTTCCTGGTCCTCCTCCCATTCAGCAGACACCAGTCGTGTCCCAGCTGCGGCCTGCGGAATATAGTAGAACTGCTTCGCACAGGCAATCTCAAGAGGGACCCTCTCGTCGGCAGCCCTCGATTGTTCTGAATACGAATATGGCTGCACCGAGGCGGCACCCTGCACAGTCCCCATGGCAGCAACAACAACAGCAGTCGTAAAAGAGGAAGAAAGTTATGACTAGGCCTCCTGCTGCAGAAGAGCGCAGTCCAGAAGGGCGAGGCAAGAGGGCGCGCAAGGGAAGTGGGGGTTCTGGTGGGAAAGGGAAGAGATCTGCTGACATTGCCACTGCAGCGGCAGATCTTGAACCAGAGTCTGCGGGTGGGACACCTCTTGAGAGGATGTGGAGCAGGTTGGTCTCCTTGAATGCAAAGAAGGTAACTGAGGACATTTTGAGCTTGCCAATGTCCTGCATGATCCGGCCTCCTATGGACACTCCCGATGGCCGGAGATCAAGGGAGGTCAGATTCCCCGCAGAATACCACTTCAGGGTCCTCATGGCGTCAGAAATGGCGCCAAAAAAGGAATTCAAGGCCAACGACCAGTATTCAAAATTCGTAAGGGGAAGGAGGCCGAGGTGAGCACAAAGTGGGTCGAACCCAGTAAACCAGGCTGAGGCACCTAGAGGGCGCACAAGGCAGGCCGAAGGAGCCGACGACCAGGTGGGGACTGTGACCACGAATAGCAGCCCAGGTGGCAGGTAGAGCGTCAAGAAGCAGCAACAACGGAGACGGGGCAGAGTGCGAGAGGGAGGTTCGAGGGAGGCGGCTCAAACAGACAAGAAACTGTAGCCCGGAAGGGGGTAGGGCGCCCAACAGAGAAAACGTAGCCTACTGAAGAAGCAAGTGGCAGGAAAGGGAAAGGAATCCATGGCCCTCAGAGGGATGAGAGGACTGATGGACACCCAAGTGGATGAGGGGGGTGCCCTCGATCTCTCCCACTCGCTCAACGTCATGGCCACCGGCCTCAGAGGGGAGGAAGACATCGAAGACGAGGAGGAATCGGAAGAGGAAGAGGAGGAAGGAGAGGACGATGGCTATGAGGTAGGAGAAGAGGAAGGGGATGAACAAGACCAGGCGCCGAACAAGGAGAACCAGCCAACGCAGAACTTGCCCGCGATGACGAGAGTCAACAACAGTCTCGCCTACCAGTACCTAGAGCAAACGTACACATCAGCACAAACGCTCCTCGAGATGAAGCCTGACTTCGATCTCCTTGGGTCTAAGTGGGCTTTGCAGCCTACGCAGCAAGGGTTGTTCTTGTACCGTTATCTGACGAGGGCATGCAAGTACGAACCTGTCGGGCTTTGCATCTGGGTCGCGAAAACCACAAGAGCCGAAGGCGGAGAGGAGGTCCACGTAACGAATTTATGGACGGAGAGGAAGAAGGTGATTGCAAGGTACATCCTACAGAAGAAAGACTTTGTATGGGATGCTTTCCACGACCCGCAAGGCGTACTGCATCACAAGCTTCGAACAACCCCTGACGAGATACGTCTCGTAACAGACGTTCAAGAACAACCCAGACGTTAATTGGTTGATTCATTGGTCGATTGATTGATTGATTGATTGATTGATTGATTGATTGATTGATTGATTCTTTCATTGGTCGATTGATTGACGGAGGAGTGGGG